TCTCAGAAGAAACACCAGGACATCCGTAGGCCTCTTCGACATCCTCTATTTCTCCTCCGCTATCCCTAACCACGTACTATGGCTCTTATTCCCACCTTTGGAACCGGCCTCTTCATTGGGGCCGGCCAAGCTCTGGCTGCCGGTGGTCCAGCATCATTACTTGGTTCATATGTACTGGTATTCTTGTTATCTTACTGCTTGACAACAGCCATTGCAGAGATTGCGGCCCACCGACCTGCGCTCAACGGTACCATGGTGGCTCACAGCTATGAATATGGCTCCAACCATCTAGGGTTTTCTCTAGGCTACCTCAGGTGGTACTCCTTGGCAATGATGGTCCCCTTCGAGATCACCACTGCCATGGTCAATCTCAGTTTGTGGACGCCTGAGCCCAGCATGGCGATCCGAATTGCAATGGTCGCAGTCCTGATCCTCCTATTCAATATGCTCCCCCAGCGAGCTTTCCAACGGACAGAGACTGTTTTCACGGGATTAAAGATCATCACTACTGCGGGGCTGACAATTTGCTCGCTATTCCTAGCAATCCGAGGTATCCCAGGGACACCGATACGAGGATTTCGTTACTGGCACGAACCTGGCCCGATGAACGAGTATCTCATTCCCGGCGGTGGAGGGCGTTTCCTTGGCTTCCTACAATGCTTTCTATACAGCGTGATTTCTTTCACCCTGACACCAGAAATTACTGTTCAGAGATCGGAGCGTTCCAACACGGAAGGAGGTCCTAGCATCCTGAGCATGGCCCGAACGGACAGTGGCTATCTCTTTGCCCTCTACATTCTCAGCGCGTTCATGATGACCTTCGTTAGTCCATTTGATGAGCCTCGATTGACCAACTATGGCACGGGCGCTGGCTCATCGCCCTTCGTCGTGGGCTTTGTACGCGCGGGCATCCCCGCGTTACGGATTCTGGTGACCGTGTTGATATTCCTTTCATCGGTCGCCTCTGGACGCTCTTTCCTCTACATATCTTCTCGCACACTCTACACCTTGGCCGAATCTGGACATGCTCCAGCAATGCTTACTCGATGCAACCGGTATCAAGTGCCCTATGTGGCCATACTGACATCTGCGCTGTTCTCATTGTTTGCTTTCCTGTCGCTGGCAGAGTCCAGCTCGGCCCTTTTCAATTCTCTCATGTACTTTATCACTACGTCGGGCTCCATCTCATGGCTTTGCTCGAGTATCATTTACCTCCGGTTCCGGAGGAAGACCGAGGAACAGGGCTTTATTCGAGTCCACCAGTCCCGCATCCAGCCCTATGGAGTATATGTTGGGATCCTAGGCTGCACTTTGCTGCCCATTGCCAATGCTCTTGTTCTTGCGTTCCCCCCGCCATCGTCCGAGGAGCTCCCGGTCCAGTCCTGGTCACAATTGAGAATGAGAAACGCTATTCCTGTGTACCTTGGGATCTTGTCGTTCCTCTCACTCTATTTCGGCCACCAAGCGAGAACTTCCATTTTACAACGGAAGCTCAAGTCGGAGGATGGGACGACCAGTCGTCGAAGCTGGTGGAGAATGTTTGGGCCGGAGCGCGATGGACCGTCAACCAGTGTCCCGGTCTCGAGTCCCCCGGGACCTTGAGAGAGACTACTCTTAAACCTACCTCGTACTTTCATTTCTCGCCTGAAGCAAATGTCCTGGTCGGCTGTCGTGATTCCGTTTCCTTCGCAACTTTATTTGTATTGATAGTGCACGGAGAGCCAGCCGCTTCTGCCATTATTGTTTGTACAGTCCTGAGATCCTTATTCCTTAATCAATGATGCTTGTTTTTTTTTTCATCTTATTCCTCAATCATTCAGTACCGCGGTGGACAATGACGCCATCTCAAGCCTTCTCCTTGATGGCCAACCATAGGAGGTTGGAGTAGTCGCTGGTAATGGCATATAGTAGTAGGCAGAAATGAAGACGTGCAACTACATGCACCAAAGTCTAGCGAGCACCATCCCTGGGTGCTATCATAAGACTTTAACAGGCGTAAGGATTGTCTGTTTCGTTTTATAACAAAGACAGATCGATACATGGAAAAGGGAAGGAGAGAAAGACTTACTACTATGACCTTACTATACATCCATACAGTTAGGCCCTGTTCGGGGGGCGGTTCGCCACGCACGGGAACCGGCGTGTCAGCCCCTAACGTAATTTTCACGCACTAGTACTTGCAGTAGTAGCGCCCAAGTAATACGGCGTCTACTAGAGGAGATCATATCAGAGGGAGAGTGTAGAGTAATTGGGCTTGAAATCCAAACATCAAAGGTTCAACAATCATTGTACATTAGCATGAGAAGTAGTAAGTCCACATTATACTCTAATAATCAAGAAATTATAAGTCCAAACGAGTTGGGGGAAGGGAGAGAGTGCCGATGGCGATGGGATGATTTGATGATGCTTCGGGTGTCGTTTTGCCATCATCATCACCGCTTTAGGTCAGTCAGCCTTCCGACTAGTAAGTTAAGTAAGTAACAACAGCAAGTTGTCGCAGCAGCCAACACGACCTGCTCGCTATTAATTTAGGCCACGGCTCCCCCCTCAGTCTCTCTCCCACTTTTGCGCGAAAAACTCCCCTTTTACCCTTCCTATCAAGAGCAAGGCCGAGATCATGTTATCTGAGCACGCCCGTCATCATATTATTATTTCGTCCTTATGACCCCGATCTGCCCCCTCCGTCAATTATTGTTCTTCCTTCCCTGGCAGTCAGTCAAGTCCCTCGTCCGCTGCCTCTCGACCCCCTCAGCGCCCTCCCTCCCTCCCTCTCTCTCTCCCTCTCCCTCCAGCGTAATGCTCAATACCTGAATACCACCCATCTTTTCCTCCCCCCCCCCACTGGACGGGTAAAATGGGGTAATTTTTCATGAGGCTAGCAAGCCATGGAGGATCCCCAACTAACTAACCAGCTGCCCAGCATCTTTCGGGTTGTCGATTTTGATTTTGGATTCGGATTTCAATTTTCCTTTCCAAAATCATCAGTCCTGCTCACAGACCATTTCCTTCTCTTCCTTTCCCCTTCCATCCCTCTCTCCCCTTTTCCCATTAACCTGCCGGAACAACCCTTCACGGAGGACGATACCTCATAAATCTCTGGGGGACCCCGGTAACTCTGTCACATACCTCTCTCTCACTACTTTCTCCTCATCTCTCCCCCAACCCACCAGATCCTCCGGGTATGATATCCTCGGATATTGCATCCCCCCAGGGCTTGTGATGAGGACTTGGGCTTGCTCTCGTTTCACTATTTGACTTGACGACTTTTCCATTCATCTGGAACTACAGCTCCTTCACCGGACACTTTAATTCGACGTGGCTTTACTGTGAAGCATGCAGCCGCTCGTCGGTGTTGCCGCCTGGAGTCAGGTACAATAAGCGACCAAAGATAACCACTTGATTTTGCTCATCACTTGACATTGCTCTGATGCTAACTAATTTACCCGTGACTAACAATATCTCTTTGCTCTACTTTTACTTTTCTTCTTTCTTTTCTTTTCTTTTCTTTTCTATATTTATGTGGATGTCACCAGTCTGTTTCTTTACTTCGTCTGCATTGTTTCCTGACCGCTAGGACGGCTAGACAACGCATGCATGCGTTGTAAGGCGGCTTCACTGACCTACGACAGGCGAGACTTTGGCCCGAAACTGCTTCTAAAAGATCCACAGCCAAGTGAAGTCTGGTTTTTCCCTCCCCTTGATTTTGTTTTCGTCGGTCCTTTCTTTTTTCTTTTTTCTTCTTTTTCGTCTCCCACCCCATCCTTCGCAATGCTGGCACTGGGTAAGGGTATTGGGGGTTTGAAACTCCATTTGCCTCTCGAGGATGTCTGGGATGTCCCTGGACGGAGAGTGACTCTGCCTCTCCTTCTGATGACAGTCAGACTGGTATTTCCACCCGCTATGCCCGAATTGGGACTTGGCATGATGTCTACCCCGATTGGGGGCTGAGAGGCACTGCTCCTGCCGGAACCAGATAAGTGAGATTCCCCACCCGAGGTTCCCCCCAGGCAGCAGTTCCAGTGCTGCCTGAGCCCTCAGGTGTTCACCATGCGTGCCAGACAGCCTAGTCCAGGGTTGTTGCCAGGTAAGAAAAGAGGAAGACTGAAGGTACTTTGCGTTCAGGACTAGCTGAGGTCGGCCAGGAGTGCCTCAGGACTGCTGTGGTTCCCTCTTCCCCCCCTTCTTGAAGCTCAGCCTGGGTTTGGCGTGGGTTCGTTTCCGGCCGGCCTCGCAATCTTGCCTTTTTCCCTTTGGTTCCCCATGGTCCCCCCCCCCTCCCCTCCCTTTCGTCCCCTCGAGCTTCCAATTCGTTCCTCGACCGGCCTGTCCGTCGTCGGTTCTGTCCCTTTCGCTCTTCCTCGATTTCCCCCCCCCTCATTCTTCAATTCTGCCGTGTGGATTATTAACCTTCCCCAACGGGGGCTACAAGGGTGAAACCACCCCCCAAAAAGAACAAGATAAAAAAGAAAAGGGACGAAAAAATATAGGCAAGGGCAGTTTAGGTGCAAACCACCTCGAAGCTGTTCCCTAAGCGCACTCACCATCCCAGACATCGGCTCCCCCAGAACCTGGACGGGTGGGAGAAAAAATTCCACGCCATTCCCTTTTCACTCTGGGTCTTGGACGCGCCGCTTGAATGGCCCATCCGTGGCTTTAGCCTCTCGCTCGCTCTCGCTCTCTCTCTCTTACGCTCTCCCTCCCTCTGATCCTCGCTTCCTCTCCTCTGCTCTCCTTTCTCCCTCTCTCGCTTGCTTGCCCTCGCCTCTTCCCGATTCACCTTCTCGTGTCTCGACTCTAATCCTCCCTCGCCCACCTTTCCGTCATCTCATTCACCTCTTCCCTCCCGACCTTGTCATCCTTTTCTCGTCTTTGTCCCCCTACTGCTGACCATCCTTCCGAGCGTCATCCTCCTTGATCTCTCCACCTTCTCTACTCTCTTCCTCTCCTTACAGCCTATCCGTTCCTCCATGCGATTCGTGGTCCGTCCGCCTACTCACAATCATCGGCTACCGATCCTCGACTTCTTACTTGCTCACGGTCGCACGCGCCACCGAGGAAGACGACTCCACTGAGACTTCGCTCAACCTGTCCCTTTTCGAACCTGGTGTCCCTCGACAATCTTTCGCAGTAATACGATTCTTCCATCGCTGAGCAACCTCTATCGGCCTTCCTACCCTCGCGGGCTCATTCCTTGCCGGTTCATTCATCGATAAAGAGGGTGGCACATTGTGGACTTCATCACCTGGCTTCATCATCTTCCAAGGTCGAACCATCCCTTCTGCCACTGTGGACTGTCGTGAGAGTCTAGGTCAGGCGACGACTATCAGTGAGCAACAGGTGATATGCGTGCTGGGTTTTGACAGGTTCCCGTAATACCGTTCGTCCCCTCGAACCCTCAACAGCGCATTTTTCTCTGTTCAGCTCAAGAGGGGGTATTCTGTCGGATTATGACAGATACCTCCCCAGTCGCCATCACGCATCCAACCACGGAGCCCCCTGCGGTCACCGCCCCTCTGAACTCGCCCATCGTAAACGGCGCTGTTTCTGACTCGGTCGCCCCTGACGAAGAAGAGCCGTATACCATCAAGTGCATCTGCGCTTTCGAGGATGACGATGGTAATACGGTCTTCTGCGAAGGGTGCGAAACCTGGCAGCATATCGAATGCTACTATCATGGCCGAGATGTGCCAGAAGTCCATAACTGCGTGGAATGCGAGCCGCGTTCCCTCGATGGCCGGCGCGCTACGGAACGACAGAGGCGTCTCAGAGAACAGAACGACGGCGGTGACCGGAAAGCGAAACGGTCCGGTGCGAAGAGTCATAAGAAGAAGGTCAAGGAGCACGGTGGTGATCAGGTAAACGGCTTTCATCACCGGTCGGAATCCAGCACCCGGGATCAGCCCCTTGCAAAGAAGGTCAAAACAAATCATCGTTCCTCGGGGTCGGTAAGCTCCGTGTCTAATGCACCCAACTTACCCTCTGATGCGCGCAAGCGGGCAGCACCCTCCATGAGCCCGACCAAGGCATCAGGGCCTTCCATTCCTTTGTATTCGCACGAGTTCCTTCATCTTTACGATCAGGGGAAAGACTATGCCAACATAGACAGCAACCTGTTTGTGAATCTGCATCTTGCGGCAGATTTTGCTGCCTGGGTCACGGAGCCGGAGGCTGTTACCCGCATCACGAACGGGCGCTCCCCAAAAGAAATCTTCACGTGGTCTGGTGCAACACTTGACAGATCACGCTGGCCGACATTGTCTACTGAAACGATCACGGACTCGAGCATTGAGGTGGAAGGCCAACATCCAACTTGGAAAATCCTCAAAACTCGCGATCGTGTCGGCAAAGATGAAATTGTCGGTGAAATCACGGGCAAGCTTGGTTTCTTACGCGACTATTGTCTTGACCCCAGTAATCGATGGCAAGAGCTTCGTCATCCTGAGCCCTTTGTCTTTTTCCACCCTCAGCTTCCAATCTACATCGATAGTCGACATGAGGGGAGCGTGCTCCGCTACGTGCGGCGCTCCTGCCGGCCGAATGTTACCATGAAAACCTACATCACGAATCAGGTAGAGTACCACTTCTGCTTTGTGGCGAAGGAAGACATTGCTGCAGACTCGGAAATCACGGCTATGTGGTACCTAGATCCTCAACTCTTTGAGTCTACCAATGGTATAGTCAAGCAGGAGGCCAGTGACAGCACGCACGATGCGCCTGCCATCTGCATCAGCAATGTCCTCGCCCACTTTGGTGGATGCGCCTGCGTCCCTCCCGCAAACTGTTTGCTGTCCAGCGTTGATCGACGACGTCACCCCAAGTTGATGGATGCGAATGCGAAACAGCCGAGTGCTAAGCGAAAGAAGACAAAGCCCAAGGCGAATATTTCTCCGCCTGCAGCCACGAGTCGGGCGGGTAGTGAGACCACTAAGAACCTTGATGAAGATGATCAGGCTGATAGCCGTTCTGCATCGGGCTCTATCCGAGGTCAAACTCGCAGTCGGGATCTCACCCCTACTTTACAGACTCCTACGGAAGCGTTTTTGCTCGGGGAATCGGAACTTTCGGCTCGAGACAAGCGTAAGATCGCTGCAGCAGAGAAGAAGTTTCAACAACTGGAGCAGGACCAAGCATCACACAGAAAGAAGAAACGGGCTAGTGGTCAATCCAGCCATGCTCCACGCGAACGCCAGTCATATTCTCCTCCCTCGGGCGGACCTGTCGGCTCGCTTCCCGGAATGCGTCATGGCTCACCGCGCAAAACATCCGGCAGTCACAGCACACCTGGGCGGTCTCCTCTGGGGCGTTCACATTACGTGGACTCCGCTATACAGACCGAGCCGGATGCTAGCGATGGTGTGGTTTCGCCTTCCCTGCCTTCCCCTCGTCGACCTTGTTTCGTGCCCTTGACTCAGCGTTTGCTGAAAAGATGCTATTCTGATCGTATCAAGCTTGAGCAAAGCAGCCCATGCCCTGTTACTCCTCGAACTTCTCTTCTCGAGCATTCTGACTCTTCGCCGACTTCCACGAGCCCGCATGAGGCAGCGCCATTAACAGCCACAACTCCCAGCATATCCGCCGACATCCAGGACACAGAGATGAGGGATGTTGATTCGCCAGTAGAGACCTCGCCATCCCATTCCGTTACACATCTCGATGCATCTCCCTTGTCAGGACGGGGATCGGTCAAGCCGCCCGTGCCGCCCCCTTGGCCATCAACTGCAGCGCACAACGCTCGGATACCTAGTAATATTGTGCATAAACAGCGCAACACTGATCTCCGCGTTCCTCTGCCCCCCGCAACGCTACCTCCGCCCCCTTCGGCCACCAGCCCAGGGTCTACAGCCCCATTGGCGTTGTCCTCACCTTCAACTGATGTGACTTCGCAACCCCACATTCCCACCACGCCGGTGTCTGGCGTGGCAGGCCCTAGTCCGGTGAAAAAGAAACTCAGTTTGGGTGACTATCTCATTCGCCGGGGCACCATGGCCACGCCTACGTCTGAGAAGACTCAAGCTCAGGCTACCGCAATGCTACCGCCCACACCACCTGTACCGCCTCCAACCGGCCGTGATGGAGCTGCTGCTGGGCACAACTCTTCCGCGGCGGCCAAGGCGACCGGCGACGAAGTGCCGAAGCCAGAACGGGGGCCCCAGGATGTCAGCATGAAGGATATTCCCGGAGCTACGCAGACTTCACACATACCCTCAGCGACGTGACGATCTGATGCTATCTCATGTGGATTACTCCCCTGGAATTCGGGGTTTACACGATATAATACGCGTTGATTACTTTCTTTGTGGAACAATTTCTGCGAATTTGTTCTTTACTTCATTCCCCTTTTCTTTCTTTTGCTTCGACTTGTACACGATGGGAATTGACAGGCGTTCAGCCGGCGGAGCGGTTTTGATTTGACCGGCGTATTCGGCGTGTTGGAAATGGAGCGGGTTCAGGGAAATACTCCGGATGAGTTATGGGCATGGGAAATGGTTTTCAGGAGGACCTTTACGGGTCATGATGTGAGCGCCTGCTTCACGATTGTCATTATTACTGTCAGACTTTTTCTTTCTTTCCCATTTCTATTTCCATTCTCCTCTTCTATTACTAGGATATTTGTGACATGACTCCCCAAGCGCCGAACATTCGGGCTCTGCGGAGTGGATCATGACGAATGAAATTCTTCTTGAATGTTAATCGATGGCACTGGTTCCGTAGCTGAATGCATTTAAGGTACACGTTGCTGGGCTGATTTCTAGTCATCTTGGTGACGTCAGGCAAAATCCCATTGTGCTCTGCATAAGCTTTGGATGGCTTTCAAGGAAACCGGGATATAGACATGAAGGAAAGGAGAGCCCATTCTTGGGCTCGGGAGGGTTAAGTGCTCCGGATATGCAGGGACTTTTTTCTTCCTAGCTGATCGGGCTCTCCACCTATAAGAAAGAGCAACGCATGATCAACAACTACTTCCATTATTTTTCATTCCCCATCAAAACAAGCCTTGAAGCGACAGCTCTTTCATCATAGCTCTGGCTCGAGACGTGGGCCGGGACGCGGATAAAGAATTACCAGGGAGGCGCGCCTTGGGCCTCGAGACTTTTCCCGCCTGCGCCACCCACCGAAGCGTTGAGTCGATTGTCTAGACCTTGTTTATTCGGTATGCCAGGGCTGGCATAGCTGCAGGGGCCGTATTCAGCGATGTCTCGGCCGCTCCTGGACCAGTGGTTGATGAGACTTGTGGTGCCACTGCCACGCCTCTATCACACTGAATATGGATCACAATGTGCCGTGTGGGAGAAGATTCTCGTCATTATTGGCTCCTTTGTTTCATGGTGATATGGTAGGGAGGAATAGCTATAAGCCGCTCCAATGGACTGATGCTCTACATCAGGAAGGAATATGTTGCCTTGCTTATCTCGCAAAGGATTTGAGGTACGGCTGAGTATTTGTCCGTTGAAGATGATGACAGTAACAAGGTCTCGTTAATTATTAGTTCAAGAAATGATTTAGCAAGGCTGAGGGATGCCGGTTATCATGCTGACTCGGGATGCCGGGCAGTATGGACGCCCTGCATACTAATGATCAGTCTGGAATGGGTGTCCAGACAAGCTCATCTAGACGCTATCCGGCTCCACCGACCCACTGCGAATGACGAGGCCGGCTCGTTGGTTGCCTGATATCATTCCCATCGGATGACATCAAGGACAAGGTTGACTGTCGGCTTTCGGGTTTGCCGAGACAGACAGGGAAATACTACTCCATCACAACTATGAAAGAAGTATATAATGTCGTGATGGTGCCCTGGATGGTTCCTGGTTGGTTCAGACAATTCTACAATCACTACTATTTCCTCCATACAAAGCATTCCTTTCTTCTTGCCGATCTATATCTAGCACATCATATACATCATGGTCGTTAACATCACCGCCGAAGATCCTCAGCCTACCATTCACAGCCACATCAATGGCACTACGGAAGAGATCCTGGATCGGCTCTGTGTCACCGAGCTCTTGAAGGGATGGCCGGTATACCGAGATGCTTCTGAATGGGCTCACTACCGAAACTGCTTCGCCGAACAGGCTTACATCTTTACCAGTAAGTTCTCATCTATATCCTTTTTGTCTCACTCATTCATACCTCCTGAACCTCTCATCAAAAACATCTCACTAATATGATTCACTCAATCTGCAGCATGGAGCGGCGGCATGCCCATCGACGAATTCATCGCAGTCTCCAAGAAGGGCCGTCGAAACGGCGACCATATCATGCACCGCGAAAACGGCACTCTCGTCGAGCTAAACTCCAAGACCGGCCGTGCCGTCGGAAAAATGAAGGCCACCATCACACAGCGCTTCTCATTTGATGGCATTGAATTTGATGTTGAATGTGACTGCCGCTTTATCATGTGGTGCCAGAAGGATCCAGCCGGGTGGAAGGTCCACTACAAGCGCTTGTTCTATGAGAAGGATAAGATCATGCCCGTGGATGGCAAGCATGTGCCTGATTTCTCGGAGGAGGAGCTCAAGCCGTATCCGTATGGATATAGGTATCTGGGTGCTTCTCAGGCGAGATTGGGACATAAGATCAAGTTGGATTTGCCGACGATGGAGGATAATGATAAGTTCCGGGGGATGTATGAGGCTATGGAGAAGTGGTTGAGGGGGGAGGATATTAAGGAGACTTTGGGGATTCCTGTGTAAAATTTTGATGGGATGATGGGAATGTGTCTTGTATATAGCTTATTGATATGAGAATAATCATTATGATGATCGTTACGATTATGAAAACTACTTATGATTCGTTCATGCTGAGGCTTGAGGGGTTGCGGGGTAGTTATCCATTTAATCGGGCATTGTCCTTCTATCTTTTCTCTCTTCTTCTTATCAGTTACATGGGAATACTTGACTCTCAGACATGGCGTCTCTTGAATTGACCGAATCGAGGTCTGAACATCACTCATCTTCTCATCCATCCAGTGAAAAGTCCAACAGTTCCCCCCGTCATGAACTTGAGCAAGCCCCGCTGCCACCGGTGGACCAGGGCAAAGGTGCCTGGTTGATTCTCGCCTCATGCTGTTTGATTCAGTTGCCGGTCTGGGGTGCGCATTTATTTTACCCAACTGTAGCTACATGTCTGCTCATTCGGGTCACCAGGGTTCTCTCTCGTTGCCGGTATCTTTCAGGAATACTTCGAGACGCATAATGACCTCGAGGGAGGTAAAGGGGGTCTAGCAATCATGGGGACCACGGCAACGGTGATATTGCCTATTATTACCATTATGTTCACTTCCATATGGCTGACTTCTTACTCTTCATACAGGGAATCCTCTATCTCCTGTCACCTGTGACGTTCACGCTCTTGACCCGCTACCCACATCTCCCAAAGTCCTGTGCATTTGTCGGACTAGCCCTCAGTGTCGGGGGCTCTCTGCTGTCTTCTTTCGCCACAACTGTTTGGCAGATGATTGTGACGCAGGGAGTGATCTGTGGCCTTGGAAATGGTCTCGTCTTCAGTCCGACCACGCTCTATCTAGATCAGTGGTTTGTTCGCCGCAAAGGTCTAGCATATGGAATCATGTGGGCTGGTAAGAGCATCTGCGGCGTAGCTCTGCCTTTCGTGACGAGTGCCTGTCTTGACCGATTTGGAGCGAAGACGACTCTAAGGGCTTGGACGGTAGTCACGGTTAGTCTTCTGCTTATTCCACTATTCTTGTTCAAAACTGACTAGGCATTGTAGCTACTCACGCTTGCTGTGACCCTTCCTTTCATAAGGCCACGAATCCCTCCAGCCCCATCTACCACTCCGCAGCCTCTGAATCTCGCTTTCTTGAAACTAGCTACGTTCTGGATGCTCCAGCTCGGGAATATCATTCAGAGCTTCGGCTACTTTTTGCCCAGCACGTATCTACCGTCGTATACAACAACTGCAGCTGGCCTGTCAGACACCACAGGGACTCTCCTAGTAGCACTATTCAACGCCACCTCTGTTGTAGGTGGAATAGTCTTGGGATCTCTTTGTGATCGCTTCGCCGTCAGCAATATCATGCTGCTCTCCTCCGTAGGCTCTGGAATGTCTGTCCTGCTGTTCTGGGGCCTGTCAACATCGTCCCCATCTACAAGCTTTCCACAGGCCGCCATTGCCCTCCTGGTTCTCTTCTCTATCACATACGGATTCTTTGCCGGGGGGTTCAGTTCCACTTGGTCCGGTGTACTCACCCAGGTCAAGCGCGAGGTTCCCTCGCTGGAAACCGGATTAGTGTTCGGGCTGTTAGCCGGTGGAAGAGGCATTGGCAGTGTCATTAGTGGTCCATTGAGCTCGGCCCTTATGCAACGGGGTTCCATAACCGGGCAAGAAAACGGGGAGATCGGGTATACCACCGACTACGGGGCGTTGATTCTATTCACTGGCGTGACAGCTATTTTTGGAGGATGGAGCTGGATGTGGCATCACCGACAACTCTGCTTGTGTTAATAAACTCGATTTACCAAACAATAGCAATGATTCAGATCATTAAATAAATTCTTATTTAGAAGAGGTTGGATAAGTTCCGCGCATATAAACATGTACAGGGCGGACGAGATCACGTGCACTCCGCAGTTCCTGCGCATCTCGAAAGCTACGAGTAACACCTTCCCCAACCTCATCCATTGCTCAATTTTCAGCACACAATTTCAAACTCCCGGAGCGGTAGCATCATCTACCAGTCTTCCACATCCATATTCACACCCGCCACCATGGCCACCGATCCCTCCCTGCAAGATCCTCTCCTCTCGCTCCGTCGCGCCATCGCGGCCGGCAATCTCCCCACGCCAACAACCTCCAGCGACCTCTCCGACCAGAATGCGACCGACGACCTCGCAAAAGCCACCCATCTCTACTTCCAACATCCCCTCCCACAAACAATCCCCCTCACAACACCTACCCGCTTCGTCTCCAGCTCCTCCGACTCCGCCGTCGACCTCCGCAGTATCTTCTTCGCGTGGCAGAAGAAAGATGTCGCCATTCCAGAGTACATTGCCTCCGCACAGGAGCTTAATGAATCGCTAAAGCAGAAGGAGCGCAAGGAAGGCGAGGAGGAGGAGAAAGTTCAGAACCTCGTTTTCGTCGAGCGCTTGGATCTCCTGACTTGGTTGGAGGGCGCGTCTGATGAGAGTGAATACATCAAGCCGTTGGAGGGTGCCGCTGCTGCGGCTGCCGCCGCGGCTTCGGCTGCTGCTCAGGCGCAGGCGTCGGCGAATATTGCTTCCGGGGCTGCGGGTGGTGTTTCTGCTGTGCCGAGTGGTGCTCCTGGGGGTGGTAGTGCCGCGCAGACTCAGCAGGGTAAGGCGGCTAAGGTCATCGATCCTAGGTTGCAGGAGATTTATAATGGGGAGCGCAAGATGGGGGATCGGAATAGTGTGCTACGGGGAATTAAGCCGACGGTAGGTTCATGCAGTGGGAGAGAAGGGAAGGCTATATACACAGTGTGCTAATAGGGATCATTGTAGGACTTCTCTCTCGTCCGCAAAACCGCCGAATCCATGCTCGGACGCAACCGCTCACGACCGGGACAATACCCTGCTGGTGTGAAAGCCGGCAGCAAGCCGCAATCCATGGTGGTGCCGTCGCCGTCGGCCGGTCTGTCCCAGCCACGCAAGGCAAGCAAGACGCAAGATCCCATCATTCTCCTCTCGCCCTCGGCCTCATCGCTCATCCGCATGTCCAACGTGCGCTCCTTCCTGCAGGACGGTGTCTTCATCCCTCCCGATCACCCTACTCTTTCCATGTCCAACTCCAATATCCTCTACATCTCCCGCCCGCTCCGCATGCACTCGGATCCGTCCAGCTCCTCTCTCCGCCCGGGTGGTGGCAGCTCCTCGCAGGTCACGTCCCGGAAACCTACACGCTTCATTCTGGTCGATAGCACAGCCAACTTCCGGCCGGACTACTGGCAGCGTCTGGTTGCCGTATTCACGACAGGTCAGACCTGGCAGTTCAAGTCATACAAGTGGTCCTCGCCGCCGGAGCTCTTCAAGCATGCCACAGGTGTGTATGTCGGATGGCGTGGAGAGGATATCCCTCGGGAAGTGAAGAGCTGGGGCCGAGGCGTGCAGAGCTACGCGGTCGAGCGCTGGGACGAGAAGGGAGGAGTCCACGGAGCGGGCCGGTGGCGTGATCGGGAAGTGGTTGAAGGGATCTGGACGGCGATTGAAGAGGGAATGAGACTCCGAGGTTGGGGATCAAAGTAGAAACTACCCACCGTGTGCGTGTGCGTGTGTCATGTTTCACTTTTCCCTCCTCTCATCATTCCCCCCAATCCCAAAATTAGACCTATCGGTCCGTGCGAACAGGAGCAGCAACGATGAGGGATAATTCGAAACACACTTCGTTTCAATCATTCAAACACTCTTTACTCTTTGCAGTTTGCCCTCCGTCAAACTTTATGCTTTCGCGCCGAACGGACCCATTCTATTGGTTCCCACAGGATCCTGTATCAATACCACCTACCTACCTCCTAGCAGACTCAGCTCTGCCGGTAAAGCCGCAAGATCAACAGCAGAAGAAAAAACCAAGAAAAGAAAGAATCATACCCCCTGACAATGAAATGGAATGCCATGCCATATCAGCCCCCCAAAAAAGAAAACAAACTCCGATCCTGCTTGGCTCGGAAATTGCGCCCGCCCGAATGCGGAGTTAACTCCGGACATTGGAAACAAGCGAACCCCAGCTACTATGTTGATCATTTTACCTCCATCTCCTTTTCTTTTCCTCTCTTTTTACTTATTGCATATCATGCTAGCTAGCTAGTTAGTTGTTTGTTCACAGGCGTATGTATGTATGTAATGTATCGGTGTCAATTTCTTCTTTTGGCGTTGCGTTGCGTTACTTTTCCCCTTTTTACTTTACATCTTCTCTATTATTACTATCTTGTCTATGACATTTGAACTTAACTAAACTTTGGCTATAAATGGTATATCTACAAAATCCACATAGAGGTACTTCACCTCGCTAGTATCTAGATCCTACTGTCTAATCCTATTCAGTTCTATTAATATCAATGATTACTACAATACATACTTCGTAGTAGTAAGTACCCTTCCACGTCTTCATCACCGGTACTTATTGCTTGTACACCATAGATAATGAATAACACTTTCTTCTACTAATGTATAATCTAGCAAATACATATACATGCAATAGAAAGCTAGCTAGATAGGTAGATAGATAGATAGATAGATAGATAAATCTACACCTCTCAAAAACAGAGCAAATAATAGAAGAAAAAAAAGCAAATATGCATGCACATTCAGTTGATACACCACCAACACAGCCAAGCACCCCCAACGAACTACCTACCCATTCAGGTTTGACACGACTCCAGACTCAATGTTATTCCTGTAGTGTCATGCTAGTAATTAGGTATGTACGTACTATGTATGTATGTAGGTCAGTCACATGGCCCCCATATTCAATGTTCACATCAGCATCATCATCATCATCTCGTGTTTAACTTAAACCACGTGTCAGCCATGTGCGTGCGCTGCGCATTTAGCTTACCTTTGTGTACTAGGTCTGTATGTATGTATGTATGTATGCATGTAAGATTGTATGTATGGTAATATTATTACTTATAGTATAGTATAGTATAGTATAAAGACATGTATACTAGTAGCGAATGTCTGATCGATGAATACGAGATCTGGCAGTTTGGGGTCGGGGGAGTCGAATTGATTGCCTTTTTTGGTACTAGTTTAAGTAGTTAGTAGTTGCTCCGTAGTTTGGGTATTTGGGCTGGGCTGGTCGGGTACTACTAAGTATTGAAGTGCGGAGAAGGGTTCGTTGATCTACTTATCTTATGTCTACTGAATACGGATGTTACAATTGTTGCCTAAAGTGCCAGTGGAAGTAGATCATGTCTCTGAATATTTATTTATTGATTGATTTCTGTTCTTTAGATTTCTCTGATCGCGAGAGGACATCCCTCGCATATTCAATCAGGTAGATAGGTTTAAAAGGAAAAAGCCACACTCGCTGTACCCTGAAAATGCAAATCAAAATGCGCGTATCCATGCTCGATGCAGGGGACGTATGACAACATACACATCAACTCGGAACAAAGGAAATAACATATATAGGAAAGAGGAAAAGAAGACCGGAAGAATGAGAGATGAAAAAGGAAATCTTGAGAGGAAAAATCATGCGGATATGATGCAAACAAGAAAGGGAAAAAGAACCGAGTACTATAACGCCTCTCTAATGCTGGAATACTTCTCGTGTTTCAGCCTTTCTCCTCTTCAGTCTCCGTCCATGCGTCACGGTTCACAGATGTATAAAAGGAAATTAGAAAAAAGGAAACGAAACAGGGGGTAGAAAAGGAATCGGTGTATTAAAATGGTTCAGTTCCGGCATCTCTATCACATGATCCATAGATCGTAACGTCTGTCATTGGTCGTGCGGACTTGGTAACCCCATGAAATGCCCTGTCGTCAATAGCAAGCGGCGTGGGTGGGGACCAAGCGGCAATTGAAGAGAAAGAGATTATAGAAACGGGAGAGCGTTCGTATCGGAGACGCATAACGTGTATCATGTCGTGTCAGGAGGTTTGGGAGTGCTCCCAAGCTTTTGGTGGGAAGGATGTGTTGGCTAGACCGGTGCCTAGTCGACATTGGACTGGCAACTCAGATCAAGCCAAGAAGTAAAATCATGTTCAAGTCGTTCCGTCAATTAACACCGCGCTGTGCAGTAAGAGTGTGTTTCATCTTGGATCGGCGAAGTCCGAGTGCAAGCCACGTGCCGTCAGATCTTTTAGTAATCACCAAGGTGAAGGCCTGTTCGGACAGGATTGGGATCCCTGCATGACACACATGCTACCCCTATCATGATCGTGCTGAGCGGCTCGCCGAGCGCTCCGGAACTGGAGCAGGCGTGGGAGAGTAAGCCCGGGGGGCACCAATCAGGTCAACGTCATGTTCCTGAAGGATGCTGGCACACTTCGGATCACGCAAAAACTTGGGAACGGAGTCCTATTGCGGGTTAGCTTTTGCCGCTGGTACAAATTGTGACAAGGTGAACTTACACTTGACATCAGCTTAAAGACCGAGGTCTGAGCCATCTCAAACAGATGCACCACCTCCTGCAGACTCTTAAGCATCGACTCATCGTCGCCCACGGCCTTGGTCATGCGGCTTGCCAGGCTGTTGCGCAGCGCGTGATCGATGTTGAGTTCGCAAGGGGATCCCGGTGCCAGGAACGCATTGTAGAGTCCTATTCAGGTTCATTAGTTACTAGTCGCAAAAGAATCATTGTCATTGAGAGCGCTTACCATATGCTGCAGCCAGTGTCTCACGGACAGCATCCGGCTTCCTGAATGTGCCCAACTTCTCTGCCTTGTGGTAGGCTGAAGTGAATTCAGACACGTCGAGGTAGAACGACAGGTTCTCCTCACAGAGGGAAAAGCGAAGGAACTCGCGGAACAGGAGTCGTAGGGCAGG